CGGGGGGCGCGTTGGGGCTTCTTGCCCCCAGCTCTTGCTAGAGCAGCGCGCGCTCCGTTACAGAACAGATGCACTATTTAAATGGTCTTTGCAGACTTTGTCATTTCCACATCAGCGTGGGCAAAGCAGGGCCCAGCCTCGTCGCACACGCTGTTACGAGCGCCCGTGGATGGACGTGCAAGAAACTGGAGCTAATCCCTTAATTACGGTGCCTGGTCAAGGCTCATTAGCTATAGCTACCATCTAGCTTCGCACTGCCGCCCTCACTTTCAAAATATGATGGGACTCCCTATAAAGAAATATAAAAAGAAGACGAGGGGTTGAGCAGCTCCGTGAATTCCGCTGCCCCTGTGTGTTACTTAAAGGCAGCTCGTTAATTAGATTTGCATCTGAAGCAGGCGGTGGGAGTTTGGGGGACGTGTGCGAGAGATAATTAGTATTAATGTGCTCGCAGGGCACACAAATACACCTTTGAAGTGAAGCATGCCAAAACCCACGTGTTTGACCTTGATCAATATAAATTTGTTTCACTATGTTTCAGTATCGGTGAACAAGAAGACCATAAAGTATTTTAAGAGATACTGGAGCAAGAGGATTACCTTACACGCTAAAGTGATTAAAAAAAAAAAAGGCATTTAGTGGTCGGGAGATAAGGGAAATCAAACGACCTTTTCCTGAAAGAGGAAGGCAGAAACGCAAAACGATCTAGAAAGCTACTCGCTGTTTTAACGTGGGCTTAATATTTAGTAGTTCTTCAAGGCTAAAAGGCTTTTCATTATATAGTCGCCTGGAATAAAAGGAAACGCATAAACCCCCACAAACACCCCTCTCCGCCTTCACCACCCCTTCCCCCCCGCGCTTTTCTCCTCCACAAGTTAAGCCCTAACCTCACAAGGAGAGTTTGATCTGGGGATGATAAATGTTTGTACAATTAATCTTTTAGTGTTGTTTTCCTGCAATGCCACTTACAGACAGCAATGCAGTTTAGTAAAAACAAACGTTTAAAAATGAAATAACGAGAGCACAGTGTCCATTAAGAAAAATGTAAAACCATAAACACGCAGGACACGGATCTTGGTGTGCGCAAAAGGGGGCAAAGGGGGGAGATGGTCTCTTGCAGGCCAAATCCTTCACTTCTTCCTAAAACAACAACCCCTCTGGAAAGGCTTCCCCCGGGGACCCACAGTAAATTGTGTCCTGTGCACTCGTAAC